AGTAGTTCATCATTTAAAGTGTAGAAGAAAACATTATTCACGCTCCCCCAAATTTAGAGGTCTTTAAAAAAATTAAAATATTTCATAATTGTTACATTTCATGCCCAACACCATTTATTTGCTTGAACCATAGCAAGAAGCCCAGTTAAAACTCATTTTGATATTTGTTCCAAATTTCCATCAGATTGTTATAAAAAGAATCTCTTTTAAAGCAATCTTGTTTGAAATCCAATGAGTGCATCCACAAATCTCTGATCTTTAAATTGCCTTTTTTTCTTCATAACATTTAGTCACAGACCTCCCTTTTTATAAAAAAAAAAAAGTTTTTTTTAAAAAATATCAGTAATCCATTTTCAAGCAAACATGGATAAAATAAAAACGAATAACCACAGACCTTCCTAACACTTGTTTTAGTTAGTGGATGGGTTGGGCCAACCCAGCTGCCTATATAGGGCATCCAACCAAGTTCTGAAAGGGAAAAGAAGAATCACCCTGCGTACCCCATGCCCCTTTCCACACACAATCTGCTTGCCTAGCACTAACCGTGTGCTGCTTTGTAGCTGGCTCACATAGGCTGCTATCAGCACATGCTCATCACTTAGCCCATCGGAGGGGGCGAGGCTTTGCTGCAACCTAGGGATATTGAAAGCAAAGGAAGCAAAACTCAACAGAAATGAAGATGAGGCAATGAAATAATGTAAATTATTTGAGGAATATAACATGGTTAAAAAATAATGGTTAACACTTGTAAACATTAGAAGGCGGCAGCAGAGACGGGCTTAAATAGGCAGGAGTCTCCTGTTAGAAGCAAGGGATCAACAAGACATGAAGAATGAAGTAGGCTTGTCATTATATTCCTTTTCTCTCCACTTTGGAAACTGCACTATTACTCTGGAGCCTGCAATTCCGACATGCAACTAACAGCATCATTTCTAGAAAACAAAGTACAACTGGGTTCTAATTCATGGAAGAGCAAGGGTGTTTATTTATTGGCAAACCCCAACTGCAACCACTCTCCTGTGCTTTGTTTGTATGCATTAGCAGATGCCTTGTTCTAATGGACATACAATTAAATGATATAACGAGTCAAAACAGTCTTCTTTTGACAATCCTACATATTCAAATCCATATTTTGGTGTATTCAGAGGATTATATCATAAGGCTGGGGGCATCCACACTCATTAGGCTGGGGGCTTCCACACTCTGCCCCAAATTCTTGTCCTTTCAACAATCTGTTACCTTAGATCCTCTAGATCAGGGGTGTCAAACTCAAGGCCCACGGGGTGCTTAAATCTGGCCCACGGGGCTGGCCTGGAAATGGCAATGGATTGGCCCATGGGGCCTATGGCAGCAAAAATGGGACACGGGGAGGCCTGCATGCCGCCCCCCCCCCCGTGCTCTGTTTTTGGCCTGGACAGCCTCCTGCAGGACTTTGCTAGCCAAAACAGGGCACCGTCCAGGCCGAAAATGGGATACGGGGGCCGCATCCCCCCACCATTTTGGCCAGCAGGGTGCTGCAGGAGGCATCTGTCTTGTCTCCCCCCCCCCCGGCCCATGGAGAACTACAATTCTGATGCGGCCCTTGAAGAAATCCAGTTTGACACCCCTGCTCTAGACAAATTCCTGAAAAAAAGTTCCCATTTCAATGGTAAGATAGAAAATAAACTCTATTCACTATCTCTCTCTGACCTCCGAAACAGGGCATAACATAACCGGAAAGTGGAATAGACAGGATGTTCATTAATGTAAGTAGGGCCTAGTTAGACAAAGGGTGCTTTTGACAGAAAGGACCTGCTTCCCATATATTTCCTTTCGTACAATATAAAAGAAGGCTTAACATAAGGGATAAAAGAGGAAGAGAGAGACAGCTCATTTGTAGTCTCAGAAAGAGCAGAGGAAAACAGTTCAGTTCAGTTGAGTCCTTGGAAAACTGATTAGACATGGGATAAAGACTTTTTTTGGATATCCCAAAAACCAAAGCACAAAAGCGAACACACACACAAACACAGAGGGAAAAGAAACAAGAAATGCAAGGTATGGAAAATTATTGTGGATATTTTACTTTTCATTAGTTTGTAAATGTAAGATGATTAATGCATATTATAGATATTCTACTTTGCTAGGCCATCCTTTGAGGGGGTTGATGTCAGTGGTGGGATTCAGCCAGTTCGCACCATTTGAGGAAAACCGGTTGTTAACTTTCTGAGCAGTTTGGTGAACTGATTATTGGAAGAAACCATTAGGGCAGAGAACCGGTTGTTAAATTATTTGAATCCCACCACTGGTTGATGGATATAAGGAGTGTTAAACTCATGACACGTTGTCACATGACATATCACAACTTTTTTCCCCTTCACTAAACCAGTGGTAGGCATGGCCAGCGCATGACACATCCGGCCTACAGGCCGCAAATTTGACACCCCCGATGTATATGAATGTAGTGTCATCTTAGATATTCAAGCTAAGTCCTTAAAAGTGCATAAAGTTATTTCTTTTTTAGGGACGTTTTGAACTTTTAAAAAAATCTAATACTTATTACCAAAAAAACAACAACTAGGAGACTGCTTTACTTTCTCTAAGACTTATGAATTATATCTATATAGGCATTTGTTTTTGAGATGACTTCATCTTACTGTGCCCAGGAGCCAGCTTGCTCACAGCTGAGTAAATTGTCCTGAAGGAGTCAGAACTCATTTTATGTACCAAGATTAGGCAGTTTCTATAGAAATAATGTTTAGTGGTTAATTGGGAACACTTAATAATGTTACTGAACAATTCAAGTTGCTCTATTTCATTAATTTGAAAAGGGCTGATTGGCTTCATGACATTTTGCTGGATTACTTTATTGTGCTCCATACTGTTGTTCAATAAATCTTTTTCTTAATTGATTTCTTCTTGTCCAGATTGTGAAAAAGTATTCATTGTCACAAATTCATTCTTTGGTAAGAAAAGTGCTGCTAGCAACAACAGAAGGGACTTACATCGTCTGCAGTACACAGAGGCAATTAAATGGAACTGGAACATTTAGAGCAAATTCCTTATTCAGGAAAGCTTATGAAACACTGGATTTTTCTCTTAAACATGTAGATAGGTATCTGGCTATTATCTATTAATCTCCTAGTTTTACAGCTGTTCTCCTTCTCCTAATAATGTGATGTAATGTAATTGCCTGAAGAAAATATTAATTGCTGTGCATTTACCATCATGGGCTGTGCAGCTCACAGCCCTAGCTGAAAATCAGATCTTTTTCCAATTTGGAGCAACTGACCTTTTGGAATAACATTTATGGCCTAAGAATATTTACAATGCTCCCCTTTGACCCCACATCTTGCTTTAATGTCATTGCAATTTCCAGCTGCCTTGCTTATGCAGTTTTATGAGCTCGCTATAAAGTTGAGCTTAGTGGCAATGAAAGCTACTCTGAGCAATAAACTAAGAGGTCCTCCACAAGATCCAGATAGCATCCTATCAGAAGGCAAGGAATTAAGCTTCCCTCTTGGATAATGCAAAAGAGGCAGACACCCTGAATGAATGTCTGGCAATATTTTCAACGTAATGTGGCTCTTTGTCTCTTTTGGAGGTGAAGAGAAGATTCTCCTTTTTCAGTCAAAGTAGTTACGCTTCACTTGAGGTGAGAAGCTCAGGCAAGAATCCTTCTGCATAGAAATCCAACTTTCTTGAAGGAGTTTTCCATTAAGTAAAATCTGATAACTTTTTACTGATTATTGGATTTATTATTTTCTAACATAATTTTGGTACTGCTGTTTTTAATTCTTAAAACATTTTTATGCTATTGCTATCTACTCTAACAGATGTTAGGCTGAAGAGCAGAACATAAATGTTTATAAAACTATTGGAAGTGTGTATGTTAGCATGATTTACACTGATAAACTTCTGCACATATGAGCCATTTCACGTCAATGCCTCAAACTGGAACATTATTTGCCTCACCTTTTAAACATAAATCCCACATCTTTGAATTAAAGATTATAGGCCATAATAATACAAAATGGCCAGTCATCTTGAGGGTAAAAGTAATCTGTAGCCCCGATTTACTGAAATTGTCGTTTATATTAATGTTTCAATTTCTGCATTGCTCCTGAAAGTGTTTTTAAATGTGAGATGCACTACAGACATTGCTAAAGTAATAAAAAAAAGTTAGATACTTAATCATATTCACATTCTAATTTTGCTTCAAGGAGTTCAAAGATGTTCTTAGGTTCAGTTATTTTCATATCAATCCTGTGAGGTAGATTAAGCTGACAATGTATATCATTTGGACAAGAAACACAAAAGAAAGTCTTGTGGCTGCTTTTTAAAGATTGACAATTTATTCTGACAGAACATTTCACAGCCGACAATAGGTTTTAGCAGACACAAATCACATTTTCAGAAGTCAGCTTAATCTTTCAAATGATTTACAAAACAAGAATGAATTTAAATATTCCACCTTTCTATTCAGAAACGTTTAATTTTCCACTGAAAAATGTGCAATAAGTATAAAGCTAAGATTACAGTGAGGGAGAATGAGAATATAGGCAAACCCGCCCCCTCCTCCCAAAGTAGATACACAGTGTACCTTTCTTGTTCACTGAAAATTTCCCCTCAGGGAAAAGGGCGGCATATAAATGTTCAATAAAACAAAATTAAATTCTGGTTCACTGAACAACTGGACAGATAAAAGCATTTAATATTCAATTAAACGGGTTCAGACAGGCCGCTCTAAGAAAGGTATTCCTTAACTATTTCTAACATGGACAAAGCTCCATTGTCTTTGTTCACATCAGTGTTGAAAGCAATAAAAAGAGCCTTGATAGTAGAACTTAAAAGACTAGCAACTTCATATGGAAGCATACTGTTTTTACATACCCTTATCTAAATGGTTAACAACTGAGTGATTCAGTGATGACTCTCTAATCTAGGCCTTTCATATCTAATTCTAATTTGTTTGATGCAAAGTCATATTACAATACCATATGGAGTTTAAATAGTTTCAGCATTAAGTATAAGTAGGAAAGTCTGGGGAAAAAAATATCCACAGGAAGTTTTCAGCTAAAGGAAATGTTAAAAGAGATATGTATACAAAATGAAAGATGACTGTAATCTCGAAGGAGATGTACTAATAAGAAGCTGATATCTATAGAATGTTCCATATTTTTTGAACTATAACATGCTCCGGATTATATGACGCACCTAGCTTTATGGGAGGAAAACAAGAAAAAAAATCTGCCTCTGCCTCCCAGCAATTTGCCTTCTGGCAGCAAACAGTAAACAGCCTGGTCAGCTTCAGCGCAGCCTGATTTAGCACAAGCAGCTGATTGGGGGTTGGATCGGCCTCCCAGAATACCACCAATCAGCTGTTCCAGGCTCCGGGGATTGCCGCCGCCCATCGGTGCTGTTGCTGCCCATCACAACTGCCTCTCTCGTCGCCTCTGCACACCCCATTTTCGGCTTTCGCATGTCCTGTTTTTGGGCTGTTCCAGAGGGCAGGGATCACCACTGCCTATACCCGCTGCTTGGAATGGGCCAAAAAAGGTGCATGCGGAGGCCGAAAATGGGATGCACAGAGGCCGAAAATGGGGCATGCGGAGGCGGCAATAGGTGGCAGTCGCGATGAGCAGCGACAGCGCCGA